GATCTGAAGATCGAGGTTCAAAGCCAGCCTGGGCGGGAAAGTCTGTGAGACTCTGATCTCCAATTAACTACCAGAAAACCGGAAGTGGTGCTATGGCTCAAGTGGTAGAGCACTTGCCTTGAGCTGAAGAGCTGAGGGACAGTGCCCAGGCCCAGAGTTCAAGCCCCACGACCAACAAAAAAAAAATCACATACCCAGTTGGATACCAATGGCTCATACCCCTGTAATCTTATCTACACATAAAGCTGAGGTCTGAGGATCCTGGTTCAAAGCCAGCCTGGGCAGTAAAGTCCATAAAATAAAATTCTTATCTCCAATTAACCAGCAAAAAAAAACCCAAAAACTAAACTAAACAACAAAAACAAAACCCAGAAGTGGAGCTGTGGCTCAAGTAGTAGAGCATCAGTCTTGAATGAGTTCAAGTCCTAGTACTGGTACACACACACACACACACACACACACACACACACACACACACACACACGAATGGATAGATTTGCCATAGGGGAGATGTGCAGAGAAGACAGGGTTAAGAACAGTGTTTATGAAGTAAAGGAGGAAAAGGAGATAGGTAGAGTGATCAGAAAGACAAAAAGGAAGCACAATTTCATTGAAGAAGTGGGAGTACAGAAGAACAAGAATGGTGATCAGCATAGTCACAGACAGCAGAGAAATTGACATGGTATAACAAAAAGGCATTTGGATTTGAGAATCAGGACATTATTATTATTATTAGTTGTGGGGCTTGAACTCTGGGCCTGGGTGCTGTCCCTCAGCTCTTCAGCTCAAATCGAGTGCTCTACCACTTAAGCCACAGTGCCACTTCCAGTTTTCTGGTGGTTTATTGGAGATAAGAGTCTCCTGGGGTGGGGGAGCTGGGAAGGTGGCTCAGTGGTAGAGCACTTGCCTTGCATGCTCGAGGCCCTGGGTTCGATTCCTCAGCACCACATAAGCAAAAAGAAAAAAGCTGGAAGTGGCACTGTGGCTCAAGTGGTAGAGCGCTAGCCTTGAGCTGAAGAGCTGAGGGACAGCGCCCAGGCTCAGAGTTCAGGCCCCATGACCAGACCCCCCCCCAAAAAAAAAAAGAGTCTCCTGGGCTTTCCTGCTTGAGCTGGCTTTGAACCATGATCCTCAGATCTCAGCCTCCTGAGTAGCTAGGATTACAGGTGTGAGCCACCAGCACCCAGCTTAGAATCAGGACATTATTGAGGATTTTTTGTGTGTGTGGTTTTGGGGCTTGAACTCAGCTTGGGTGCTGTCCCTCAGCTTTACAGCTCAAGGCTAGTGCTCTACCACTTGAGCCATAGCACCACTTCTGGTTTTCTGGTGGTTTATTGGAGATGAGTCTCACAGGCTTTCCTGCCTGGGCTGGCTTTGAACCATGATCCTCAGATCTCAGCCTCCTGGCTAGCTAGGATTACAGGTGTGAGCCACTGGTGCCCAGCTATTGAAGATCTTTAGGAGATGAGATTCTGTAAGTTATAGGGGCAGAAGCCATATCACAAGGATTTTCATGTATACTAAAGGCTTATAACCATAAATTGTAGTAAGTCTAACCAGAAAGGAATGTTGAAAGAGAGTAAATTTAGGTATCTTATGATAGAAGGCTGATTCCCTTCATGGTACAGAAAAATCATCTAAGCTATTTATGTAGGACTGGTAAACAAGCAATTATGCCAAGAAACTACTGGGTCTAGTAGTCCAAGGGTCTTCCCTAATGCTGTGTCCATGTGATTCTTATGTCCAGCTCTCCAATTCTGTCTTTCTCATTCTTTGGCAAAGTCCTAAACTCAGATTGGATCCTCAGCCAGCTTGGAATAGTACTAAGTTCTAGGTTAGACCTACTGAAGCCAATGAGATAAGGAGAAGCTGTTTCAGAAAGACCCACACACATTTGTCTTACTAGTTGTTTTTTTTTTTAATTCACTGACCATGGAATTCTCTAAGTGTGAGGGTGTTCACATTTTCTAATCAAAATGAAAAGGGTCCTTTTGGCCCTTTCAATCTACTGTTTTTGGTTTTCAGTAGCTGAAGTTTTCCGTTGAGGTTCTTTTTAACGCCTACATGCAAACTGAAGAGCACTCAAGCTTTGGTGGGATATCACCCACAGCTGGAGTGATGGAGGAAGACCAGAGGGTACAAGCCTCAGGTGCATCCTTCTCTTTAAAAAAAAAAAAAAGCCAAGTGCTGGTGGCTCATGCCTGTAATCCTAGCTACCAGGAGGCTGAGAGCTATGGATGGTGGTTCAGGCAGGAAAGTCCGTGAGACTCTTACCTTCAATGAACTGTCCACAAGTTGGAAGCGGAGCTGGGGCTCAAGTGGTGGAGTGCTAGCCTTGAGCAAAAAAAGTTCGGGGACAGTGCCTAGGCCCTGAGTTCCAGCCCCAGTACTGCCCCTCCCCCCAAAAAAAGGAGGAGGAGAGAAAAGAAGGAAAGGGAGAAAGGAGAGAGGGAGGAAAGGAGGGAAGAAGGAGGAAAGGAGGGAGAGAGGTAAAGAAAGAAAAGGAAGGGGAAAAAAAACGAAGGAAACAAATTCTATCTGAAAATAGGGCAAGACCAAAGAAGAAAATGAACCCCTTCCCAAATAGGACTCATCAATTTACATAAAACCCAGCTACACTGTGATGGATAAATTTGGTTTGGGTTGGGCTCATCCTGCAGCCCTCCATCTCTACCAGCCAAGAGCATGAAGTTGTGAACCATGAAGTGTGGTGAGCAGGGAACAGTGTTAGCACCCTGGTTCCACTGTTGGTGGTTAGACCCTGTCTTGCTCTATTAAGCAAACACAGTTAATATAGATGAAAGGTAACCTTGATAGAAGTGAAAATTGAAACTCGGTAGAAGGTAGCAAGCCAAGCCCAGCTGCAGGGGTACTTCCTCCTGTGTGACAACACGAATGACACTTCTGATATGTTTTGGAAGGGATGTCATTTTTAACACTCTCTCTCTCTCTCTCTCTCTCTCTCTCTCTCTCTCTCTCTCTCCCTCTCTCCTCTCCCCCCGCCCTCCTGTTAAAGTGTTTTGGGTTTTTAACATCTACCCCAGTGAGAGAGTGTGGGATAGAGTTGGTAAAAAGCCACTTTGACTTTTTGTACTAAAGTGTGAAGTCAAATCCAAGTAACTGATAGTTCAAGATTAAATCTAGCATGGTGATCACACTTCTGCTCGTAACTGGCTGTGTACACTTGGGTAGATCATTGAAAACATCTCCGCACCCCAGTTTTCTCATCTGAGACACAAGAGGATGGAATTAGATGATTTCCAAATTCCCTGTTGTCCTAAGCTCCATGGATCTGTACAACTTCCAATTTCTCAAAAACCAATATTTGAAAGGATAAGCATTTAGACAGCACATTTTACATATAAAAAAAATCTCATAGTGTTTATTATAGTATTAGATACATCTTTGAGGTTTTGTTGGTGTTAGTACAGAAATTTGCTTTCTCTATTTCTTATGTCCTTCATCTTATGCATTAAACCAAGGTTAAAAATATGACCCAGTAGTAGAGCTCTTGCCTAGCATATGGCATGTGCAAGACCCTGGATTCCATCCCTAGCACTTCATCCCTCAAAAAAGAGCACCATAGTCCCTTTAAAAATGGCACAAGAAGCCAGGCATCAGTGGCTCAAGCCTGTAATCCTAGCTACTCAGGAGGCTGAGATCTGAGAATCACGGTTCACAACTAGCCTGGGCAGGAAAGTCTGTGAGACTCTTATTTCCAATAAACCACCAGAAAACTGGAAGTGGCACTGTGGCTCAAGCAGTAGAGTGCTCGCCTTGAGCTGAAGAGCGCAGGGACAGTGCCCAAGCCGAGTTCAAGCCCCAGGACCGACAAAAAAAAAAAAAAATGGCACAAGGGAGTTGGGTGCCAGTGGCTTATGCCTGTAATCCTAGCTACTCAGGATGCTGAGATCTGAGAATTGTGTTTCAAATCCAGCCAGGACAGAAAAATCCTGAGATTCTTATCGCCAATAAACTATGAAAAAAGAAAGGAAGAAATAAAGGAAAAGAAGAAGGGAGGAAAGATGAAAGAAAGAAGGAAGGAGAGAGAGAATGAGGGGAAAAACAGAAAGCCTGGAGTCCAGCTGTGGCTCTAGTTAGAGTGCTAGCTAGCCTTAAGCAAAAAAGCTTAGGTACACCACCCAGGCCCTAACTTCAAGCCCCGGACCCGCATGCCTACATACATAAAATGGCACCAGGTCATTAACTCACTTGAGCAGGCCAGTCTCTCCCGTCTTATCCATTCCTATTATCAATGCTAGGGCTTTAAGCTTACTCTTCTTTTGCTTGAATATAGGTATCTTTGCTTAGGTTAGGCCCTGTTTACTTACTGAAGGAAGTGGCTCCTTATTTTCTATTAGAAAATTACTTCTTCTTTTATCTTTCTCAACACTATTTTGCTAGTCTTGAGGGCTTCCTCTACATACAGTGTTGTATGTTTATCAGTTCCAAGACCAGCAGGAAGATAAGATGAGGTCTAGCAGTTCTGATACAGGGAAGGGGAAGAAACAAGGTATGGCTTAAATGCAAAAAAAAAACCCACCCTACTAACTGTTCAACTCTCAGTCTTGGTGACTTAAATTTATGCAATTGAATGATCAAAATGGCATTATCTCCTTGAAACCTAAAGGCACATCATCTTGCCTTTTTAACAAAAAAAAAAGTTCTAGATCTGAGAATCTTCCTTCTCCCCCCAGTATGGGGACAAATTGCTCAAAATGTTTGTTTCGTGATCTCTGAGTAATCATAGTTAAAACCTGTTATCTCTAATTTCTGCATAGCTGAAAACTGTCATCTATTTTTATGCATGTCTTCCTTTATGATTCTGAAATCAAGTAATGAGTGATCACCCTAATAGCATTTCCTTGTTTTGTGGATGGACAATGTTAATGTTAACTTCATTCAGCATTTAATTGTCAGTTGTGAGTCTCTGATTTTTGAGCTGTTTTCAAAGTTTCCAATACAATCATGGTTCTTCTCTTGTATTTTCTTCCTGGCAGATGATTTGATGAAAGTAAAAGATGAATACAACGAGAGAGATGAAAATGTTTTAAAGCCAGAGTCCATGGGAAACACAGAAGAGCCTGAGATTCCATACAGCTATGCAAGAGACTATAACGAATATGAGAACATCAAGTTGGAGAGGCATCCAGTTGTCTCCTATGACAGCAGCAGGCCGGCCAGTGGCAAGTTGAACTGTGATGTGTGTGGACTGTCCTGCATTAGCTTCAATGTCTTAATGGTGCATAAGCGGAGCCACACTGGTAAAGAGCCCCATTTTGCATTCTTCTAAAAAAAATGCCCTACTGCACCTGTGGGATGAGTGAAGAGGTAGAATTTGGGACTTTGAATTGTCTTCACTGATCTTTGTTGTCATTCTGGTACATTCTCGCTTTCTGCATTGCTATGTATTGTTGATTTTTAGTTCTACTTCACTATGCATTTGGCAAACATATTGCAAATGCTATTAATGAAAACAAATGGGAGAGCACAGTGTTCTAGGTCAGCCAAATGCTTTTTCTTTGGTTAATAAGTAGGAGTTACATAGTATGATTTGCTTCTTTCTTGTGTTTTTGTGTGACATTTCTTAATTAAAAGCAAATCATCTTATTGGGTCCAAGTTTGGTAGATGAAAAGAAATTTTTTTGGGCGGAGGTGGGTTGTGGGGCTCAAACTCTGGGCCTACGCACTGTCCCTCAGCTCTTCAGCTCTACCACTTGAGCCACAGCGCCATTTCGTTTTCTAAGTGGTTTATTGGAGCTAAGAGTCTCATGGACTTTCCTGCTTGGACTGGCTTTGAACCATGATCCTCAGATTTCAGCCTCTTGAGTAGCTAGGATTACAGGCGTGAGCCACTGACACCCAGCAGGACATTTTTTTTTTTTTGGGTCCGGTTGTGGGGCCTGAACTCTGGGCCTGGGCGCTGTCCCTCAGCTCTTCAGCTCAAGGCTAGCGCTCTACCACTTGAGCCACAGCGCCACTTCCGGCTTTTTTCTTTTTGCTTATGTGGTGCTGAGGAATCGAACCCAGGGCCTCGAGCATGCAAGGCAAGCCCAGCAGGACATTTTTTTAGTACCATTTTTAAAGACTATATCTTCAGCCAGGTGCAGTGTCTCAAGCCTTTAATCCTAGCTACTTGTGTATGTATGGGTGGGAGGTGCTAACTGGGGTATCAAAGTTAAGGGCTATCCTGGGCAAAAAGCTTGTGAGGCTCCCTTTCAATCGAAGACTGGGTGTGGTGGTGTGTGCCTGCTATCCATCCCAGCTACAGGATTGTGCATGGTGGTCCACACTTGTCATCCTGGCTATGTAGGGAAGCACAAGTGGAAGGATTGCAGTTTAATCTGGCCTGGGTATGAAGTCAAGCCCTATCTCAAAAAATAGCCAATGCTGGTGGAGTGGCTCACATGGTAGAGTCCCTGTCTAAACAAGCATGAGGCCCTGAGTTCACATCCCAAAAAGAGAATATATCTTCACATAATAAGACAGTCTAGGAAGGCATATAAACAAGGATCCCACCTAACAGATAGATTCTGTCTAACATATGATATGAAGACTCTTAAAAAGAAGCATTTCTGGGGCTGGGAAGGTGGCTCAGTGGTAGAGCACTTGCCTTGCATGCATGAGACCCTGGGTTCGATTCCTCAGCACCACATAAGCAAAAAGAAAAAAGCTGGAAGTGGCGCTGTGGCTCAAGTGGTAGAGCGCTAGCCTTGAGCTGAAGAGCTGAGGGACAGCGCCCAGGCCCAGAGTTCAGGCCCCATGACCGGACCCAAAAAAACAAAAAAACAAACAAAAAGAAGCATTTCTAGCCCTTGACCCCTTATTAAGACTTGAGTTTGAAGGGGTGGGGGCGTGGCTTAGTTGGTAGAGTCCCAGCCAGTGAGCAAAAGCTTCAGGTACTGAGTTAAAGTCCCAGTCTCAGACCTAAAAAACAAACAGATTTGAGTTTGAGTCTTTCTTAAAGGGAAATTTTGGACAAAAAGAATGTCTAGTGATATAAAAATTACATTTAGAAAGCTCTCCTAGAGCTGCTCTTGTTTCTTTGCTCTGATTCAAGACAGGACAATACCTAGAATAGCCTTGCTGAGTGGGAGCTCTTTCTCTTCTGAGAGAAAGATTCCACAAGTAAAGTCTTCCCCTTGCCTCAAAGTGCAAATGTAAGTTCCCAAGGGGTCCCACTTTGGGCAAAGCCATCTATAAGGTGGCTCTTGACAAAGGTATCTTATCTGTGTAGATGGCTTTTCCACTCACCCCGTGACCCAAATTCTCCTTTTTTTTTTTTGTCTTTTCTAAAGGTGAACGGCCGTTCCAGTGCAATCAGTGTGGGGCATCTTTTACTCAGAAAGGTAACCTTCTCCGCCACATTAAGTTGCACACAGGGGAAAAACCTTACAAGTGTCACCTCTGCAACTATGCCTGCCAAAGGAGAGACGCGCTCACAGGGCACCTTAGGACACATTCTGGTAAGTGAGGGGCTGTGGAAACTAGAAAGAGTTAAGTGTAGGGCTCAGATCTGTCATTCTCCTTCTGAAGGGTTGCAACAGCAGAGACCTCTAGGGCTAATTACACTTCCATTAAGGCATTAATTGCTCTCCGTCTGCCTTAGTGAAGATGATCTTTGCAATATCACTGTGCTTAGAGAATGGTAGTCAGACAGGAAGAGCCTGCCCTCCCTTCCTCTGTGAAAATGCCTTTTGAATTTTAGCAAGGAAATGGCTGGAATTTTCTTACGGTAAACTTTATTAAAATATCATAATCCTAGCCCACTATTTTCCATGTAAAAGACCAGACAATGTAAATCATATACAGTTTGTAAATTACCACCAAAAAAAAAAGGGTAAACTAGAATGTGAATTGTTTGGAGACCCATTTTAGCCACTGTGGGGGGTTTTGTTTGTTTTTGTTTTTATTTACTTATTTTTTAAACAATACTGGTGTTTAAACTCAGAGACTTACTTTTTTAATTTTTATTTTTTGGTCCGTCATTGGACTTGAACTCAGGGCCTAGGAGCTAACCCTGAGCTCTTCCACTCAATGCCAGCACTCTACCACTTTGAGCCACAGTGCCACTTCTGTTTTTTTTTCTGTTTATGTGGTATGGAGGAATAGAACCCAGGACTTCATGCATGCTAGGCAGAAATCTACATCCAAGCCACATTCCCAGCCCTCAGGGACTTATTTTTTAATCTTTAAAAGTTGACAGCAAGCCAAGCACTGGTGAGTCGTGCCTGTAATCCTAACTTCTCAAGAGGCTGAGATCTGAGAATCATGGACTTTCTTGCCACTGCTGGCTTCAAATCATGAAAAAAACCATGGGGGGAAAACATTTGTGTTTATGTCAATCCACATTACTACTTTAAGTAAAACTGAGCCCACTCTTAAAAGTGGTAATAGGGGCTGGGAAGGTGGCTCAGTGGTAGAGTGCTTGCCTTGCATGCATAATGACCTGGGTTCGATTTCTCAGTACCACATAAGCAGAAAAAGCTGGAAGTGGCGCTGTGGCTCAAGTGGTAGAGCCCTAGACTTGAGCTGAAGAGCTGATGGACAGTGCCCAGGCCCAGAGTTCAGGCCCTACAACCTACAAAAAAAAAAAGTTATAATAATTCAGAGACTAGGATTAAGTCAATCCAGGAACATCACCAAGACAGATTACATGTGGCAAAGGGAAGATTTCTTTATTTGGTAGCTCCTTTTTTAAAGTAGTGAATTAATGAGTTGGATAAAAATAAAAATAGGGGCTGGGAATGTGGCTTAGTGGTAGAGCACTTACTTAGCATGCATGTAGCTCTGGGTTCAATTCCTCAGTACCGCATAAACAGAAAAAGTCAGAAGTGGCACTGTGGCTCAAGTGGTAGAGTGCTAGCCTTGAGCAAAAGAAGCTCAAGGACAGTGTCCAGGCCCCAAGTTCAAGCCTTAGGACTGGCAAAATGAATTAATAAATAAATAAACAAAATAAGAATAGGACAGTTATCTTCTGTTCCCCTTTACAAACAAAAGCAACAACAATTGGCATTTCAGGATAGATTCTAGAGGACCGCAATGTGTGTAGAAACTTCCAATTTTTAGCCCTCACAAACCTGCATTTAATCTTAATTTGGAATTTCAGAAGGATTTTTTAAGTGTTTCAAATCCCAAAGTCTCTATTTTAAACGTAAAAATAGGAGTTAGAAAATAAAGAATTCAGGGGTAGAGAAATAATACCTCAGTGATAGAGTCTTTAATTTTCCTAGCAAGAACAACATCTAGCAAGAAAAGAAAGCCGGGCATTGGTGTCTCATGCCTGTAATCCTAGCTATTCAAAAGGCTGAGATCTGAGAATCATGATTCAAAGACAGCCCAGGCAGGAAAGTCTATGAGACTTGTATCTCCAATTAACCACCAAAAAGCTGAAAGTGGATCTGTGGCTCAAGTGATAGAGTGCCAGCTAGCCTTGAAAGTAAAAGCTCAGGGACAATGCTTAGACCCTGAGTTCAATCCCAGGAATAGAGAGAAAGAGAGAGGTAGAGAGAGAGAAGACAGAGAGAGAGAGACAGAGAAAGAAAGAAAGAAAGAAAGAAAGAAAGAAAGAAAGAAAGAAAGAAAGAAAGAAAGAAAGAAAGAAAGAAAGAAAGAAAGAAGGAAGAAAGGAAGGAAGGAAGGAAGGAAGGGAGGGAGGAAGGGAGGAAGGAAGGGAGAGAAAGAAAGGAAGGAAGGGAGAGAAAGAAAAGAAGAGAGAGAGAAGAAAGAAAAGGAGGAAGGGAAGGAAGGAAGGAGGGAGAAAATAAGGACTTTAGTCCTCAAAACTCTGAGAATTTTGGGGGATATGTTTTCTTTTCAAATCAGAAAAACCAGACTTACAAAAATAAAGTAAATAGTCTTGGGGTAGAGAGTTGAAAGGATAAAGGGTTACCTGATTTGTCCTAGTAAACCTAGGAGTAAACTTTTGCTTCATCTTAGAAATTTAGATGAAGTCCTTTTTTGTAATTTTTTTTTTTTTTTTTTTTTTGCCAGTCATGGAGCCTGAACTCTGGGCCTCTGCACTGTCCCTCAGCTCTTCAGCTCAAGGCTAGCATTCTACCATGTGAGCCACAGCACCACTTCCGACCTTTTCTGCTTATGTGGTGCTGAGGAATCGAACCCAGGGCCTCATGCATACAAAGCAAGCACTCTACTACTGAGCCACTTTTCCAGCCCCTGTAATTGATTTTTAAATCTATTATTTTAAAAATAGCCTTATTTAATTAGCTCATGTTTTATTGTTTTAACCCAGGTTTGTCATAGTCATTGAAAAGCCTGAGATTCATTTATTCAAACATGTTGATATTTTGACTAGGCATTGGTAGTTCATACTTCTAATCTTAGCTATTCAATGGGATAAGATCTGAGGATCCTGGTTTGAAGCCAGCCTGGGCAGAAAAGCCCATGAGATTCTTATCTCCATTTAGTCGCAGCAAAAAGCTGAACATGGAGATATAGCTCCAGTGGTAAAGTACCAGCTTAGAGTAAAAAAGCCACATGAGAGCTGAGAGCCCTAAGTTCAAGGCCCAGTACTGGCACACAAACAAAAAAGTTGATATTCAGCTGGGAAGGTGGCTCAGTGGTAGAGCACTTGCCTTGCATGCTTGAGGCCCTGGGTTCAATCCCTCAGCACCCATAAGCAAAAAAAAAAAAAAAAGCCGGAAGTGGCGCTGTGGCTCAAGTGGTAGAGCGCTAGCCTTGAGCTGAAGAGCTGAGGGGCAGCGCCCAGGCTCAGAGTTCAAGCCCACGACCGGACCCAAAACAAAACAAAAAATTTGATATTCTAACAAGGTTCTAGCAGGGGCCAACTCCCACAAACTTTGGCAAGTGGTACTTTCAGCCAGATGGACATCACCAAAAAAGGAGCCCTTTCCTATTCCACTTTACACTACACTTAACCTTGAAGGGTAAGAGGGCCCTATTTTTGTGAAACACAAAGAAACAAACACTGGGTGAGATGGTAATCATCAAATTGAACAGTACGCTGACATAATAACCTGCCCTACACTATGCCCTTATTTCAGCTAGCTAAATTTTAAAATAACATCAAAGAGTTTGGGGATTTAACTCCGTGGAAGAGCCCTTGCCTGGCAACAGGCAACAGTACAAGGCCCTGAGTTCAATTGTCAGTTCTGCGAAAATAAATAAATAAATGTAACAGAGCTGTATAGGTATTGGTTTCAACCAGTGCTCTCATTCCTAGTGAGCAGTGTGCATGGAACCCCAGTGCATCTTTTGTGAGAGACCCCATAAAGCTGCTAAGGTTTTGCTGAGTGGCCCCTGTGTTCTCTTTCCAGTGGAGAAACCTTACAAATGTGAGTTTTGCGGAAGAAGTTACAAGCAGAGAAGTTCCCTGGAGGAACACAAGGAGCGGTGCCGCACGTTTCTTCAGAGCTCTGACCTGGGGGACGCCGGTGAGTTCCACAGCACCCATTTTACACACACAAACTGGAAGACAATGTGAATAAAATGACCTACCCTGTGCTCATGGAGTTGGTATTTGGATGGGACAGGCAGATTACAAACAAAATATATAAGCAAACTATATATCAGAAGGCAAAGAAGTCCTGAGGTCCATGGAGACTCATGAAGCAGGCACGGAGGGTTGAGGGTGAGGTAAGGAAGACTTAAACTAGATAAGATTTTCAGCAGACTTTAAGGCTCAAGGAAGTGAGCCCAGCAGATAACGAGGAAACAGCAAGTGCAAAGGTCCTGAGACTCAGACTTGAAGAAGTGTCAATAGTCCTAATGGTGGAACAGAATGAGTCATGGAACATAAAGTCAGAGAGGAAATGGGAGACTAGATCTTATCAAACCTTGTGGATGATTGTAAAGACTTTGGCTTTTACTCTGAGTGAAATTGAAAATCTTCAGAGAGTTCTTCACACAGAGCGGTGATATCATTGAAGACTTTTCGATTGTGGAGTCAATCTGTTTGCTGCCTATAGATTGTTTTGGAGAGGGGACTAAGGTTAGAAATTGGGAAATCCAACTGGGAAGCCATTGCAAGAATTCAAGCCAAAGGAAAATCATGTCTTGGTAGTGGTTGAGGTGACAGGCAGGCTCTTATAACAGGCTCATGCAGGATATGACCACTGGAGCCGCCCAGAACTGAAATTACAAAGATTGGGAGAGGCTGGGAAGAGTTCATTAAAACTGCCAGGATTTTCTTTGTTTAAAGGTCATATTCTTGTTTGCTCATATGATTTAGCAGTTTCTCTTTGGCATTTGAGGATTTCCTATATTTTTCATTTGTCTTGCATCAGATTGTCCATTGTTGAACCAGTGTATGTCTTTCCCTATATTGATTGCGATTTTCTTTCCTCCTCATTTTTCAGTTGAAGTAAACTGAAACTTTTTTGTGTGTGCCAGTCCTGGGGCTTGAACTCAGGGCCTGGGCACTGTCCCTGAGCGTTTACTCAAGGCTAGCACTCTACCACTTGAACCACAGTGCCACCTGTGACTTTTTCTGCTTATGTGGTACTTAGGAATTGAACCCAAGGCTTCTTGCATGCTAGGCAAGCACTCTACCACTAAGCCACATTCCCAGCCCATCCAGAAATGTTTTGTGTTGCATCTCTGCCATTGCCCCTTTGTCTTACCCACTTGACCCTCAGCCCTGTTCTACAGTTTGGGGTGAAATTGTGTGTGTGTGTGTGTGTGTGTGTGTGTACTAGTACTGGGGTTTGAACTCAGTATTACGATGTTATTCTGTCTTAGTTTTCTTACTCAAGGCTGATGCTCTATCACTTGATCCAAATCTCTACTTCTGGCTTTTTGGTGGTTAATTGGAAATAGTCTCAAGGACTGCTCAGGCTAGGTTCAAAACTTAATGCTCAGGTCTCAGCCTTTTGAATAGCTAGGACTAGAGATGTGAGCCACCACCACCAGGTGAGAAAACCTTTTTCCTGTGGTTACTTGTATAAGTGTTTACTTAGAGCAGGCACAAATCCCTGTGCAATTTAGTGTTGGATAGCAATAGTTGTAGTTGAGTAGTTTGACAGTCTAGCATAGAAAGATTGTAAAAATATGACAGAAGGAATGTAAAACTCAGGGAGAATGAAGTGGAGATCATGAGTATTTAACCTGGCCCTCTGTTGGAGTGAGAGGAAACTTGTTTTACATAAAGGCTATTGTATGGTATTAGGAGCTGGCCAACTGAATTCTGCTGGTTTGCACTTGCTTCTGCTTTTTATTCTGATGGCATCCTTGGTTTTATCAAGGAGTACGATTTCCTTCTTATTTTTAAAAAGAAATGTTTGCTTCCTTAAAAAAAAGCAAAAATTTGGGTTTCAACACCTTAAATGGCATGATTGATATAGGCTATATTTGCCCAAGAATATACCATAGGCATATACATGACAGTAGATATGTGTGTGTCTATATGTGTGCATATATATATAAATATATATATATATATGTCTATATTTTAGACAATGGGCAAAGTGTTACTGTGAGCACTTGCCATATACCAGTAGAGCTAAAGATACTTAAAATTGGAGCCAGGTGCCCGGTGGCTCATGCCTGTAATCCTAGCTACTCAGAAGGCTGAGATCTGAGGATTGGGGCTCAAAGCCAGCCAGGGCAGGAAAGTCCATGAGACTCTTATCTCCAATTAACCACCAGAAAACCGGAAATGGTGCTGTGGCTCAAAGTGGTAGAGTGCTAGCTTTGAGCTAAAAAGCTGAGAGACAGCGAGCTTCCAGGCCCAGAATTGAAACCTCATGACTGAGGGGAAAAAAAAGATTCTTAAAATTAGAACAATAAAAGAGAACATCTAATCTAACCACTTATTTTATTTGGGAAAAAATTTTTAATACTTTTTTTTTGGGGGGGTGGTTGGTCATGGGGCTTGAACTCTGGGCCTACATGCTGTCCCTCAGCTCTTCAGCTCAAGGCAAGTGCTTGAACCACAAAGCCACTTCCAGTTTTCTGGTGGTTTATTGGAGATCAAAGTCTCATGGACTTTCCTGCCCCGGCTGGCTTTGAACCATGATCCCCAGATCTCAGCCTCCTGAGTAGCTAGGATTACAGGCGTGAGCCACTGACGCCCAGCTGGGTACTTTTTTTTTTTTTTTTTTAAGTTAAAGCCTTTTTGATTAGCAAGAGAAGTACATTAACACATCCAAGTGGACACAAGTGTGTGTATCTTGATTCTCATGAATATAGGGGGAAAGTGGAAATTAATAAATTATATTCCATATAATAAATGAATTATTGATTTACTTCCTACTCTATAACCTTTTTAGGAATTTGAAGTTAGGAAGAGAAGTTTTTCAAAATAAATATTTTTACTGTATTCTGTGATGCAGAAAATGCTAAAATACAAAGTTATATGCAGGGGCTGGGAAGGTGGCTCAGTGGTAGAGCGCTTGCCTTGCATGCCAGAGGCCCTGGGTTTGATTCCTCAGCACTACATAAGCAAAAAGAAAAAAGCCGGAAGCGGTGCTGTGGCTCAAGTGGTAGAACACTAGCCTTGAGCTGAAGAGCTGAGGGACAGCGCCCAGGCCCAGAGATCAGGCCCCACAACCGGACACCCCCCCCCCAAAAAAAAAAGTTATTTGCAGTTTATATGGCAATTTGATAGATGCATGCAGATTAACCAAGTCAACAAGTTTTTTTTTTTTTAATAAACATGTTGTAATGGTGGTTTTTAGGTAACAAAATTGGCAATGTCATAGTTTAATCAAGTATAAATACTGCGTGTCAGTAATATATCACTTTGTTTTATGTTTTAAGTATTTCTCATAATTTTTTTTCTGAGATCCAAAATGTAAAGAATGTTTACATTACACTATGAGCCAATCCTTTTTTTTTTTTTTTTTTTTTTGCCAGTCATAGGGCCTGAACTCTGGGCTTGGGTGCTGTCCCTCAGCTCTTCAGCTCAAGGCTAGTGCTCTACCACAGCACCACTTCTGGCTTTTTCTGTTTATGTGGTGCTGAGGAATCGAACCCAGGGCCTCATGCATGCAAGGCAAGCACTCTACCACTGAGCCACCTTCCCAGCCCAAACCAATCCTTTATTAACACTAGTTTCTACTTCTGATTCCTTCTTAGAATTGTGAGTCCACTGTGGACTCAGGGTCTTATTCCAAGCCTGACCAGTATAGTACATCTTATGCCTTCATCCTAAGCCTGGCCTCAGCCTTCTGAGAGCTAGAATTTTAGGTATGTGCCACCTTGTCCTGAGGCTTGGCTTGGAGTCTGGGCTATTGAGACCCTGAAGAAGGAAATAAAGAAAGTGGAGGTGGGAAGGAAGAAGAAAGGAGGGAGGGAAGAAGAAAGAAAGAAAGAGGGGCTGGGAAAGTGGCTCAGAGGTAGAGCGCTTGCCTTGCATGCATGAGTCCCTGAGTTCCATTCCTCAGCACCACATAAGCAAAAAGAAAAAAGCCGGAAGTGGTGCTGTGGCTCAAGTGGTAGAGTGCTAGCCTTGAGCTGAAGAGCTGAGAGACAGCACCCAGGCCCAGAGTTCAGGCCCCATGACCAGACTCAAGAAAGAAAGAGAGAGAGAGAAAGAAAGAAAGAAAGAAGAAAGAGAGCAAGAAGAAGGGAGGGAGGGAGGAAGAGAGGGAGGGAGGGAAAAAAATAAGAACAAAACAATATCAACTGAAGAACAGTGTAGTGTGAAAGCCAAACCTTCCTGGAAATGGATGAATGAAAAGGCCATGGAGTGAAGTCCAGCCTCCAAAAGAATGTAATTTCTGTCCTTGCCGAGTATTTTATTTAGACATTTATTGAGTTCTCTATGTGCCAGATTGTGTCTAAATTGTTAGTACAGATGATTTAAAAGTTGAGTGTCTGCCCTTGAAGAACTCAAAACTCACCAAGGCACTTACCCTTTTATACAATGCAGAGATCTAATAGTGAGACATGAGTTATTACCACTTCATCCCACATATCTATACCAGACATCATCAAAATATCCCGGTCCTGTTTTCTTAAGGAGTATAACAACCATAAGAAAAAACACAGAAGTTCACGAGCTCCATTCTCATTAGCTTAAACTTTATTTCTAAAGGAGATTCTGCTATTATAGACCTTTGTGTGGCATCATTTCACACAAATTCTGAATACTTGGATCCAAATCCTTTTTATAACAGTGAGTTTTAGCAATAATAAGATTTTTAAGTAATTGAGTAGTTAAATTTGTTTATGAATCTTTTCCATCTTCATTCCCAATGTTCCAGTCAACCTAAAACAAGCATGAGGGGTTCTGAATAAACTGATACACACACACACACACACACACACACACACACACACACACACACACACACACACACACACACACACACAAACTAATTTACCTGCTTTTTATTGTAAAAGTTTAAATCATTTTAAGTCTCTTCTCCAAATAAATAGTACTCATTTTGCTTGCTCAAAAAGGCATCAGTTTTATGTATCTTTTTGTTAG